TCAGTCGGCCAGGGCTCTCTGGGCTCTCTGCTGTGTTAAAAGTTGCAGGGTGCAACTTCATGTCATTGCATTGCTGCTCCAGTGGACTTTATGTGCTGGCCAAAGTTGCCATCAAAGATGTTCCTCATGGAAACAGAACACAGCTCTGATTGTTCCTTTTTTAATGGGCTTCAAAACCCATTAAAAGTTACAGTTTAATGGACAGAGGCTAGAATCCAGCTAGGTAAACATTAGCAAGCAAATGTGCCTAGGATCCAATTATAAACAACTGGAGAACTAATTTTTAAGATGTCTAAGATCATTTTATTGGCCATATACAATTTCTTGCATGAGGAATTTGTCTTTTCGCATACCCCAGCTTGCTCTCCATGAGACACACAGACACACAGACAGGGAGAGAAGCTTGGGGTCAGAGCGCAGGGTCAGCCATTGTACAGCGCCCCTGGAGCAGCTGGGGTTAAGGGCCTTGCTCAGGGGCCCGACGGAGTAGGATTCCTCTGCCGGCCACGGGATTTGAACCGGCAACCTTGCAGCCACAGGTGCAGATCCTGAGCCACAGAGACACCGCCCCACCCTCTCTAATTCCATTAAAGCAGCTGATCGCTTGTGCAAAGGTCTTTAGGGTGTTCAGATCAATGCAAAACCCCCTTTCAGAAGGCAGTCAACATCTCGTATTATCCCTCAGTCCTTCATCACATCATCGTGCCTCATCATCACTGTCCAACACTGGCAAAGAACACGTCTCCTCGGGAGGGGAAACGGCTAATTAAGACACAGTTTTAACAAGCTAGTGTGGAAATCACAGAGTGAAGACAATCATGTTTTGATTTGCATCTCATCAATTTGTTTAATGACTTGTTAAAAGCAGCACCAAGCTGATAGATGCCACCACAGAGGGCCTCTCTGCGTGCAGCATGCTGTCAGGAAAATTGTTGCTGGCTCACTTCGTCGGCAGTCAGCTGATGAGAGTTCAGGATTTTAGAGAATGGTGTCAACTGCAAAGCAAGTCTCAAGGGATAATTTGATTATCTGGAAAGATGCATCATTTCCTCTTGGGATGTTTCCGTGTCTGCGTTATTAAGTTTCCCCCGGAGAAATAACTATATACAGTATAAATCTCTAATGCAGGAATTTGCTGGGCTGTAGCCATTTTCCAGGGCTACCTTCCAGCTCTTGGGTCCCAGGTTTGACTCTGACCTGTAATACCTTCTAGGTGGAGTATGCATGTTCCCCTGTATCCAAATAGATTTTCTTTCAATGCTCGTTTCCTACTACCTCCCAAAGATATGCTAGGCAAGATTCATTAAAGTCTGTAAATCATGTCTGTTTGTGCATGTATGTAACAGAACCTGACAGTCTTTCTGGAGCGCCTTATTTGAATCTTATTCTAACCCGCCACCCAGACAGCCCCTCCTGCCCCCAGTACCTTGCGATTGGTCCATGTGACCCAGGGTCTCTATCTGCTCCACCAGGTCGTTGGAGTTCCACTGGCTCATGCCCAGCAGCATCGCACTCTTCCCTTCCATCACTTCTTCTGGGACGGAGACAGAGAGGGGTGGGAGAGAAAGGAGTGAGCGAGCGCGAGAAGGGAGAGGAGCTCAAGACGAGAGAGCAATGCTCTCGCTCCTTTGCCGATTCTTAAACCTACAAACCTCCTGCCCGAAACAGTGGTACAGCCCCATATTCCCCTCGTGTTTCCAAGTCCATGGGATAAATATCAGCATTACGCCTGGCTATCTGCATCATGCAGAGGTCGTGCAGGCAGAAATGGATGTGTTTGAGCCTCATCTGTGTTATGCTCAGTGTTGTGTCCCAGCTGTCGTGCAGAGCGGGGGCTCTGCAGTAGCAGCTCTCCTCAGTTCCCCCCCCCCCCCATGGGCCTGCTCTTCACACTTTTCACACTGGGGGAGATCAGTGTTAATCAAGAGCTGTGAAGAGGGGCCACGCTGTGGAGCACAGGGGGGGACACACTTCTAAAGAGGTGTGAAATCTCTGTTACGGCGGCAAAGGAGACTGTAGCAGGCAGGGCTATGAGGGGAAACAAATAAATAGGAGAAAAAAAAATATTCCAACAGCCCCCAAGTCTGCGAGATCGGAATTGAAGTGGCAGAGACGACAAGCACGATGCGGAGGCCGATGAGAGCCTCTCTTCGCTGAAGAGAGAGACAGAGAGAGGGAGGGAGGCTGTGCTCACACTGACAGCTCTGGCGAGGAAGGCCTGAAGGCAAAACCCAGACACGGCTTTATAACCGAACACAGCTCTTATTCGCTGCTTCACACTATCTGAGAATGACAAGGCGATACGGCTTCCTGCTCAAAAACTCACGGTGGGGGCTCTCGATTCACACCCCGAGGGCTGGGGGTTCCCTTCCCCCCCTGTGGACCCCCAAACAAGGCCCTTTGCCCAGGTGCTCCGCTGCACCTGGCTGTATGAATGGGTGCCAGCAATGCTGGGGTCCCCCTTCCTGGGGGAAGACAGAAACTCTGGCCTGACCAGCCTCTAGGTTTTAGTTATTTCCTGCCGATCTTTAATTAATTACCGCCTTAACGGAGCCAGTCCTTCAGCTACAGAGTTTGGCCTGTAGGTGGCAGTGTCCTCCGGCTTCCAGCTTCTCCCTCAAATCAAGGACAGTGCAATGGCTTTTCCGTGCCAGGCGACACGCTCAGCCTTGAGGGATCCTCTGCTTCTTCCGCCATGATCCGCCATGAAGCTTGCAGTGTAAAACCAAATCCGTCCCCCCCCC